TATATGGTTTTCAATAGGCCGGGCCAGCCCAATGGGCCTTTATTTGTTGGATTGGAAATTTTAGGCTGATTTATAGCCCCGTTTGGTCTTTCATGAGGCTTTCACTGTTAAATGGCTTATAGTGAAGTGTTCTGTTCCAATGCAACTACCGCGATATCTATCATGCTCCCCAACAAGATTCACACTAGAGTCTCTCCTCCAAGACACCCAACAAAAGAGAAATAATTCTCCTTGTCACTGAAATCCTAAAAGTTGACTATAGATTAAATTGGTCTTAGTCAAAGCTCGGATATATAGCAATAATAAATGCTCATCTGTTCAAATAATACATCGTCGTTTCACTCTAATATAGAGATAAAACTATTATGGCTTACCATTTCTAGACCCCTATTGTAGGTTGACATTTTATGCACTAGATTGGACTTTTATAAAGAAAAAGTCTTGTCATTGCCGTAAACTATAGTTCAATTGTGACATGAAAGTCACGAATTCAAATATATAAACAATCTTTCATACTTGAGAGTAGTTCGCGTAAATCTCAACCTCCAATACCCGTGATGAGAAATGCATACACTGAACTTCTCTTTATGATAACGTAGGCTGGCCATGATATAGTGCATAAGCTTTGTGGTCCATCATCATTGCTACCATTACTCAAGATAAAAAATTTGTACTTGTTCTTAAAAAAAAAAGGGGACTAATTTCATTTGACTCCCTGAAAGATGTTTAGATTTTCAATTTAAACATTCAAACATTAAAAATTTTAATTTATATCCTCAATATTATAAACTATCGTTCAATTTTTCTTCATAAATTAAAGCACGCAAGTCGCAAGTGCTTCGGGGTAAAAAGTGAGGGTGAAAAATTAAACTATAATTTGGATCAGGTCTACATTGTTACAAATTCATAACATTGAGTCATTTAATGTTTGTGGGTATAAATTAAAAATTGAAGCATCATTTGAGGTAAAAAATGAGATTAACCCTAAAAAAATAAAATTTGAGAGACAGAGAGATGGGTGGTAGCTTCTAGGTAGTTTTTTTGCAAGCAAAGTGTTGTTCATAACAGCAATCAAGAAAGTAGTGACCAAAAGCAAAAGGAAGAAAGCAAAAAGTTCAAAAAAGAGCTATTTGAAAGCCAAGTAGCTATAGGTGTACAATCAAGGTAGTGATCAAAAGGGGGGTGTAGGATAACTGATAAGTGGGCTTTTCTGCTGGTCCACCATTAAAAGATGGCAGTGGGAAGTGCTAAGCGCAGTTATATTTGATACTGACCATGATGATGATGAATTGATATGTGCCACAAGGTTCACTGAACTTCTTCATTACACCCTTTGAAAACAAATGACAAAAAGCTCAATCCCACTATATGGAACCTAAAGGGAGTCACCCCACCCACCCAACAGACATGGATATATAAGCATGCGCGCCTGAGGATTCTAAGTGTCCAAAACATCCATCCCAAAAAACCTAGACCTCAATAAGTGTTACCTAACACTTATCTAAGTTTATTATCCAATATAATCGACTCGCCTTAACTTAGTTGGTCGTCTTTGATTCTTTTAAAGATTCCGTCAATAAAAAATGAACACAGAGATTAATTTCTTATGTCTGTCTCTTTGGAGGTTATAAAAAAAAAGAGTTACTATCGAATTTTATCGAGGGTGATGGGAAAATAAATTGGATGTAACCTTAGATGTTATTTAGACAACATATAGTTGTCATGGATTCATACTCATTTGCGGTAATAGTACCTATGAATCAGATACTGTTGGAGGGGCTGAAGGTTCAACTTGCCTTCAGTGGTGCTATGGTGATAGGTTCAACCATTTCAAATCAGTACCTATGATTCGAATTGAATATTCTATAACGGATGAAAACCTTAAGATAACATCTTGAAGTGTCGCCTTTTTAAGATATTGGCCAATCATTTGCTTCAAAGTGCCAGAAGATGAATCGATAGAATTGCAAGCTTTAATAAAACTCAGGCAATATCTATTAATTTATTGTTGTCGTTGGATTATTTGCACATATCCACTAATATTAAGATCAGTGTTAATCAAATAATTAGAAATTAGACCAATAATATTAGATAAAAAAAATAATATTATAAAATTGAGAAACGAATTCTGGACGTATGCTAAATTTTGTTAAAATAAATTCTATTTAGATCTAATTTACAGACCTAATCATACATAACTATTAGATTGGTAGTAGATCTCAATGTTTGTTAGAATCCGCAACTATCCAATGATTGTAATGCATTGAGTCAACAAATTATATTAATAAATCAAATCCGAATAACATTATTAATTTTGTAATAATAGAATAACTGCAACCCTTGTGGGAAAAGCAGAGTCAAGCAATAGCATATACGTATTTTCTTGCTGGGGTATAATATAGTTGACTGCGTTTACTTGGAAGTGGACCATTCATTTTGGTTGTGCCCTAGGCCAGAAGTCCTCCCAAAAAGCCTAGTAAAACAAGGCACTACCAATTATTCGTTTTTAGTACTTTTGAACGTGACTGACTAAGAATTAGAATACAAAGAATGGAATGATGGAGTAAAGAAATTGGTTCTGTCCGAACCATGCGTTTACTCTTAGATCATCAACTATAATGGACCTGTTTGGAGCAGCTTTTTTCTTTTTTTTTAGGGCAAAACAGAAGTTTGAAAAATAAAATGAAAAACTCATACTTAAAAAAACTTTTGAAACCGTTTGAAGCATTTTTTAAAAATCCGATTTTTCATTGGGAACTCTTGGATAAACCTTTTTTTTTTTCAGCTTTTCCTTATGCTCCGTTTGTTAGAAAGGATGGAAAATAGGAGAGATATACTTTCTATCATTCAAAAATAAAAAGTAGGAAGAATACACTTTCCTTCATTTGTGTTTGGTTGGATGGATAAAAAATAAAAATCACTATTTTTTTTGTATTGACTAAGATTAGGAATGACAATCGAGTAGAGTAGAGTCGAGTCGTATTTTATCAGATTCGTGTTAAGTTATTACGGGTTTGTGTCGAATATTAGTCAAACTTAACTTAACTCATTTAACTAATTGTGTCGTGTCGAGTTGCGAGTTAACTTGTTTATTTTCGTATCGAATTCGAGTCGTGCCATTGTGTTGAGTCAAAATTTTTCATCCTTAGTTAATACGGAAAAAATATATAATTTTTAAATTTTAAATTTTAAATTTTTTAAATTTTATTTTTAAAATTTATATATATATATATAGACAAATAAGATACATCTCAACAAAAATAATTAACTTTTCATTCACTTTCTTTTCGATTTTGGAGGAATTAATTTTGGTGAGTTGAAAGTAAAGTTGATTCATTCACTTTTCCATCCTTCTTACTTTCCTTCCTTACCAAACATGATGTTTCATTTATCTTTTCAACTTTCCATCCTCCCACTTTTCTATCGTACTAAACACGGAGCATTAGTGTTAATAAAAGTTATTTTTGTCCAAAAAGTAAATAGAAAACCAGTCCAATAAGTTTGGGACCAAACGGACTATGCTTCTTTTTCCTATGAAATTAGAAAAAAAAAAAATTGGAATTTTCAGCCAACTCTAAACAAGCTTACCGTCTCATTTTTTGCTTTTAATTTGTTTCTAAATGGTACAATAGGCACATCGCGGTCTAAATAATTGAGCGACAAAGGTTATGAACTTTTTTTTGATAATGACTGTCACTTGTCCACTTCCGTTAACTATTTGAACAGAAATGGATGTAACTGACTATACAAAAACAAACTGAAAAAAATGTCAAATACTAATATGATTATTGCATCTTTTTAGGAATGACCAATGTTATTGTCCACTATAGCAATATTTGCATAGTTATATCAGAAACAAAAAAAACTAGAAGAGATCCCACGTGCTGCTCCCTCTTTCGCTCTCTCTCACAGAGGGGTGGTTGAAAATTCTGATTCTAGTTTACGACAGTATTTGCCTCCACCAGAAATTGTTTAAGGTACAATGAAGCTAAAATATGTTTGTGTCTTGTACCGACAAAACCATTATCTTGAATACCTACTTCAAAATATAATAGTCGTGTTCTGAAATTCTAATTCTACAGCAATTCAAAATTCCAGATGCAAAACAACATTAATAGAACGTTGTGTTCTTAAGAAGAAGAATGTAAATTGCAAACAAAAGAGAATGACAAGTCTGAAAATTAGAGTCTCCTCCCCTGGT